GTGTTAAGCATATCTTTACTTTCCTACATTATCCACCTGCTTCTCCTCAAACTGACAATTCATGTATTCTCATTACACTCAGACACAGACGTACTACAGGCAGAAACCAGTCAATGTCATTCAAGCAGCGTCCACACAGGGAACTTCAGCTGGCCGCTGGCCATTCCTCACACTGTACCAGTGACATGAATAATGAAGGCCATTCTCAGGCACATTCCTAGATGAGGAAACAAGCATAATCTGGGCATTACACTGATAGCAAAGACACCATGTTGACACAACATCTTCAGCCCAGCTGAATGCCACATAATCCCCTGTAGGAGGTGGATGCCTACCTAGGATCTCTTGCAATGAGGTGTAGTTAACCAGCCTGGCTCGTCAGCAACGCCACAAACGAGCTTCAATCCCCCCCCCCCCCCNNCCCCCCCCCTCCCACCTTGGTGCTGGTGGACTATCAGCGAGGGTCCGACAGTGTTGTTCCTAATTACCTATTTCTCCACTCCTGATCCTGCGGCTGGCATAATTAGTTACCTGGGGCTGCAATCCAATTTGAAGTGATGACAAGAAAGTGATCCATGAAAAAGTAATAAGTTAAATCCAATTTCAGCCTGCCTCTAATTAAATGCACATGGAACTAATGAGTCAAACCCTACCATTTCACTGATAATGGTAATTAGCGGGGTGGGAGTTGCCGGCTCTCGTCGTCATGCCACTGTAGGTGTGAAGCGCAAAAGGTAAAAGCGGCATGAATTCTTTTAATCACACGTGTCACTCTGTCAATGTAATTTACTGGCTTTTTGACCAGTCAAGTATGTTTAGCTGCTTTCCTGCCTGCGTAGCAGCTGTTTGTATATCTCATCTGATTAAAGCGCCTCTAGGCTGCCGAGTATACAGCGGAGGCATCTTCATCCAGAGGCAGGGGTGGGTGGTATATTTCTGAGCTTCCATATAGGGGTCTACCTCTCTCGTCTCCTCCTCTCCCCGCTCTCCCTCAGAAAACACACACATGCACTACAAACAACTTCGTAACCTCATCCAACCCCATGCCTCTGTATATGACGATGTCCTCCACACTGTCATCATCCTCAGAGCAGCCTAGACTTATATACATGACCTTATAACAATACAGCTGACTGCCGACACCACGCCAATCATAAACACGCTGGTCAAAAGCCTCACAGTAACAATACACTTGACAGCCACGCTCGACGTCGTCGACCTTAACAAGAATTCAATTAGCCGCATTTACTTGCAGTATCACACCCTAATTACAGTCGGCACTCAACTTCGACAGCACGAAAGAAAGCTCGGGCAAAACTGCTACCATAATTACCAATATATCCGTGAAATGGTAGGAGTATCATTAGATTCAGTGATTTTACCTTTAGAAGACACTAATGGATAATTCATAATATACTTTTCAATGGATCACTTCATTGTCCACCCTCCCTCTTGTTGGAATTCAAGAACATATAGAATAACGAAAATATGCAAAGCCGTCAAAGAAGTGAAGACAAATTGTGAGGAATACTTAGAAACAACACACTGTCAGGGACCCACAGAATGTAGTACACCGCGCACCAACGAAGTGAGATGAATAATCCCAACCAACAACAACAAGAGGAGGAGGGGGAGGGTGATGAAGCTTCGTATATGTGGCTTAGAGCAAGGCTGGTTAACTTAACACTCATGCAAGAGATCCTATAGCATCCACCTCTCACAGTGGTTATGTGGCATTGCAGTGCTGAAGATGTTTGGTGTTCAACATGGTGGTCTTTGCCTATCAGTGTAATGCCCAGATTATGCTTGGTTTCCTCATCTACGGAATGTGCCTGAGAATGGACCTTCATTATTCATGTCACTGGTAACAGGTGTGAGGAATGGCCAGCGGCCAGCTTGAAGTTCCCTGGTGTGGACGGCTGCTTGAATGACATCTGACTGGTTTCTGCCTGTTAGTACGTCTGGTGTCTGAGTGTAAATGGAGAATACATGAATTGTCAGTTTAAGCATGGATATGGTAGGAAAGTAAAATATGAACGCAGCTTCTGTTTAAGAACAGTATAATAACTTTGCGACTTAAAGAACAGAGAATGACTTCATAATCATAGTGAAAGAAATACCAAGAATGGATAAAACGTCACTACTTACTTAATGCCTTTGGAGCCGCTTCAACCATAATTTCATTCATCAAAGAATTTGAAAGCTCAAAAGAACATCCTAGGCCATGGTCCTTCTTGTTTGTATCAAATATATCTCAAACCACTTTACGTTCCACAAGTAATCGGACCCTTTTAGGGTTTTTTAAAATCAAGAAACCTAATGTGCAGAATTTGTGTGATAAAAAGTTGCTTTGGACATTTTCATGATGGTCAAAGGTGTGCATTCACTTGTTATTCTTCAGACACAAGGAGAAACTTAGCTGATAATGTTTTCAGACCATGGCCAGCAGACAATTTTCTTATCTATAACTATACCAGTTAAGCCCACAACCAACTTCTTTAATTCCTTTTCCACTATTATTGTTCATCTTCT